CAAGCTTTAAACATCTCAAGGAGCACTGTGCAAGCAATTATATTTTAAATGGCAAAGAGTATCAGCACCCACTGCAATTACCAAGCCCGGCCCCGTCCCTTCCAATATTTCACTCTCAAACAAGGAGAGAAGAATGATCAGAGAAGCAGCCACGAGGTCCATTGAATCACTCTGGATGAACTGCAGTAACTACAGCTGAGGTGGGAGAGTCTGTGTCCATAGGACAACAATTCAGTCGTGCACTGCACAATTCTGCCTTTAAGGAAGAGTGGCAGAAGAGGAAAGCCATTTTCCAAAGGTTTATACCATAAAAAAGTCTCGTTTTAAAGTTTGCCACAAGCCACCTGGGAACCACACCGAAAACATGTGGAAGAAGGTGCTCGGGTCGATGAAACCAAATCTCCACGTTTTCGGTCCCACAATTGCAAACGATATCGTTTGGCGTTAAAAGGCACCACAGCTCATCACCCTGAACTCAACAATCCCACCTCAGCTGTAGTTATCTGCAGTGCATCCAGAGTGATCAATGGACCTCTTGGCGGGGAGGGATGCATCGTCTGATCGTACTTTCTTCCTTGTTTGAGATTGAATGTTTGGAGGGACGGCGGGTCTTGGGAGATTTGCAGTGGTCTGATACTCTTTCCATTAAAATATAATTGCTTGCACAGAGCTCCTGAGATGTTAAAGCTTGTGGAAAATCTTTTTGTTATCTAAATCCGGCTTAAACTTCTCCACAACAGTATCTCGGACCTGCCTGGTGTGTTTGTCTTGTACTCATGGTTCTCCTCTGCGCTTTAAACAGAACCTGAGACTATCAAAGAGCAGGTGGCATTTATACGGGCTGATTACAACTTGTGCATTCTAATTTTCATCATCAGTCATATAGGACAACATTGGACTCATTCAAGGTCCTCCACTGAACTTCTGGAGTGAAGTTTGCTGCCCACCTGAAACTACAGGGGACCGAATATATTCGACACGCCCCACTTTTTCAAGTTTTTTATTTGTTAAAGTTTAAATCCTTCAATAAAATTTCGTTCCACTTCACAATGGTGTCCCAAAGTTATTGATTCATGACAAAAAATTAAAAAATGGCGGGGCTGAATAAAAATTTTTTTTTGGGACAAGGCACTGATATTGGTTTCCAATGAAAGCAGAACTCTATACAACTTGTGCGCAATATGGGACCTGACTTTTGCTGTACTTTGGGTAGCATTTGTAAAACATGTAATAAGGAAATTAACAATCTAGGGTGTCAAATCATTCCAGAGGGTCCCTGTTGGTTACAGCGTTTTCTATCAAATCCAGCAGGTGCAGAGCGCTCCGCCTATTTCCTAACTATTTATGGTTAAGATGAACTCACTGAGGCCTGCCTGCTTTCTCGCTGCAACGGACCAAATTACGGTGCACAGCCAACATCCGGTGGCGCCAAAATAAAAAAACTAAACCATTCAAACCCGGGAAACCCATTATTCAATATTTACATTTTTTTCCTTTTCCCTCATCAAAATTGCATGTTTTGATTTTAATTTGAAAAAAAACCATTGACGACTAAAAATACACGACCCTTGGCCTGGTTCTTTAGTCTTTGTGGTTTTATGCTCCCACCAGACGTCTTATCCTCCACGCACCTCTTCTCACAGCTTCAGAACGCGGAATGGTTTATATTCTCTATTGGTTTTAATTCTATTTGTTTTAATTTGACTAATACGTATGGAGAGATCTGCGTGGATCCTTGGTGGCCCGATTTCGAATGACCTGTAGTTGGGGACCATGTCAAAGACAACATCAGATCCTTCAAACAAAGCTTACCGTATATCAAAGGACTGCAATATATGATTTCAACGCTAGATGGGTATCGCAAAAGAAACTACAGAGACCCTTTGAGGTCTTTGATGGCCTTTCTCTGTCCCTGTTGCTCGCTCTGATTATGTGGGTTATACACATTCTTTAAGTGATGACTCCTTACTGTTTCTCAAATGTTTAAGGTGTCATGTGCTCAGACCTGTCCTATTACTTGACAGCACGCAGACTAGAGACGTAAAAGATTAACCATTTTTCATAATCCTGACTTGGCCACAGGCCCTGTGCGATCAAGCAGTGAACACATTTAAAGCTCACTGCTAACATTTACAAGTATATATTTTGTGGTGTTTAAAAGGGTTCAAGTGGTTTACTGGTTGGACCTAGAGGACATTGTTTTGGTGTGGGATAGACAATTGTTTCTTGCAGTGCAGTACGCTGATCGAATTCACCACTGTGTGGACAAATTGATGCGCCTCCAATTAGTTTAGTAACTCCTTTTCATTACTTTTGCTTTGTACTTACTTTATTTTCTCATCTCAGGGACATTTTGCTTTTGTTGACATCCTTTAACCATGCTTTCAAACTGGTCTATGTCAGGTGGTATTAGCTGCATGTTGGGAAAGAATGCAGCCTGGCGCCATGAAAGAGGAGCTGAAGAAAAACAAGGGGATAGTACGAGTAATAGGAATATAAAATCTATGTCTAATGTTTGTTGACAGCCATAAACTATATTATGTCTCGTAGAGCTGGGCGATAAACATGATTTTAATTATTAAGTCGAATTTTGATGTTTAAGGGGCGACGATTTCTATTTTATTAATGAAACAGTTTGTTTTTTTTCTTCTTTAGCGCAGAGCTACAGTGCTATACCAGCTAACCGCGGGTGTTTAAGTCAATTTTGAAAGCTCCTAATGATAACAGTCTCCCTCTGTCCTGACCCTGTCACAGTTGTGCTTTTCCTCTACCCCCTTCTCTTCTGCACTAACACTTTAGACGTATAAGAATTCAGTCTTATTGAATCGCCAGAAACACGACTCAACAGACTCGTATATCCTGCCTCTGGCTCCCGGCTGCTCTGCTTCTTAGCGACCACACTTTTCAGTCCTTTCATTCTCATTAATTACATGTCTCATGCTCACGCTCGTTACTCCAAAGGGCGGTTGGACTTTCATGGAGTGATTCAAAATGGGCCGCGGATGGCTGGAAATTGAGGAAAAACCTATCTGCGCAGTTTCAGCCGGCTACGAGCCCCATTCATTTAAACGAGTAAATCTAGACGGGTCCCAAAAAAAATTCTACCCCTCAGCATTGACAACATGAACCTTTTGGACCTTCCAATAAAGGTCGTTTTCGAGAGGTAAGACAGATGCTATATGTTAGCATTGACTATTTCTTATTCCGGGTCCACCCCATGGCCTGATTGGTATGCAAGCATGTTCAGGCGTCATTTTGCCACTTTTGAGCCGGGACCCGCCCCACTGGAGCAAACACAGCGTGTCCCACTTTGCTGCTGCAGTTTGGGATATAAGATAAGATAAGATGTGGCTTATGTGTGAGACTCGTCTCACTCATTGCTACTCATTGCTCTGATACCAACAACGTGTTCCGTGCTCAATCTGTTAAGCCTAGTTTATACTAGCGCGGCAGCGGACCTTACTGAGGTGACGTGACGACACTTGCGCAACGTTGGTCACCGCATGGCCATTCGTTTCCTGCCGCGCAGCATCGAAATTTTCTAACTACGTAAGGGTCGCCGCAAAGGGGAATTCTCTCGCTGTGATTGGTCCGTGGTGTGTATCTGGACGGAAGCAAGGAGCTGGCCTGCAGCAGGGACAAGGGACTATGAAGCCAGAGCTTTGTGCTTTCGAAGGAAAAGCAGTTTGGGCTCAGAGCCTGATTACAGGAGACTGTGGATATCTAACATATGTATAACTTATAAACTGTGCAGTCGTTTGTTTTTGCACTTGTTCCTGTTGCGTATGTTGCTTTCCTCTGCACTCGTAAATCGTTCATAGTTATGTCTCAGATATTTGACCACTATTATTGTTTTGACTGTTGTGCTGAAAAAATATTTAATAATAACTTTGTTCCCAATCAAGAACTGTGTCTTTATTCACAGCATCCCAGTTGAAATGACTTAAAAAATAATGAATCCTAAACTAGATCACATAAAACCTGCAGTAGAAATCAACATGTAATGATGCTCATTTGCTGTATTGTTGTTCTGACAGAGGACAAAGTAGAGCGTAAATGGGACCGCTCCTGTGTGATCCACCCTCATGTGTTAGATGTGGGATTCCAACATTTCTCCTCACAACATCCGAAGGGGAACGCGCCTTACGATAGGTCCCCCGCCAACCGCTAACGTAAGCCACTCGCGCGCTGTTCGACACTACGGCTGTAGAGCCTACAGTAGCAGAATGTAAAAACGGAAGAGAAACGGAAACTTAACTCGCACCAAGCAGTAGTCACTAAAGTTAGTATTAGCGCACCAGCTGGACGAGCGTTTTACGCTACAGCCAGTTGCTCTGACATGTTGAAAGAACAAGCATGAAAACCCAAGGAGGAGGCTTTTGTAAAAGATTTTCTGTTATAACAATTGTATTTTTGAGTAATCATTAGTTTTTAAAAATGTGATATTTAATGTAAAATAATCCTTGTGGTTTAATACGATGGATTTATATGCTATGGGCCCACGTTTCGCCATGGCAGGTGCATTATGTCTCTGCCCAAAGTGAAGTTATTAGAAAACTGCTAAGCTACATTTTGCTGTTTACAAGGCAGGGCCATCTCTTTTAAAGCAATGTTTAGGCCTATATCCTTGTTCATAATTATGTTCCATGGGGAAATTTAGATTAAACTGCATAAAGGAAAATCAATTTCTTTGTCTATTCTAGTTTGTTTTTAATAGAAAAAACAATCAATTTAAAAGTTGAAAACTCGGATTCTTTTCCTTTTTTTTGCATATCCGCCCAGCCCTTCTCCTTGGATATATTTTATTAACAATGTTCACAAATGTATTTTATTTAGTGCAGACCCTCGCTTCCAGCACTGCTGGCGTTTGTGCTCGGCTGGCCTCTGTGGTCACTGGCCACAGTAATATTGTGCTAGTCTAAAAGTAAACCTGCTGTCACCTTTTGTGTACTCACGAGGTGCCCAAGTGACTATACAGGCAGTTATCGCCAGGGCGGACAATGCGATGGGCATTGGCCTGGAGCTTTTATGACGATGTGATGGTTCCCGGTAAGTCCCCCTTGCTTGTTTTTATGGTGATAAAGTCAAGTGTTCACTCTAAAACACACTTCCAAAACTGAATTCGTTCCTGTCTTAAGCTATATGCTGCTTTGGTACAAAAAAAAAAAAAAGGGCATTGTCTCTCATATACTGTGTTCTAGTACTATTTTGTTGCGTTTGGTTGATGTGGGCAGCGCAGTGGCACCAAAGAACTGGCAACTCTGAGAGCTCGTGTGGTCTTTATTTAGCTTTCTTATTGGCTTGAAAAAATAGTGAATGTTACATGCGTATAATATTATTGCCTAATTGTGTCCATTTGGTTGTGTGAAAGACTTAAGTGGCCGACCCATTGACGGAATACACCTTTATCTATCCAGATTATTTCACACAATCATCTTTTTAAAAATTGTGCATATTCTAGATAGACGCCTTTCCCTTTTGGTTTCGTGACCTAAAAGCAGTTGTCCCGAAAACATCTGGCCTATTAATTGCTCCAACCCGTCAACCCTCCTCCGCCAGCCAGAGGGAGCTGCTCAGCACATCATTATCAGTCAACCCTGGCGTGTGGTCTTGTGTGTGCACATGTTTACACAGCAGTGGTTTTAACTGTATGCTATGGGCAAACATCTCTGTCCATTGATGTGTGTGTGTGTGTGACGTCGTTAGTTTATTGATTTCGGTCTTGAACTGTTTAGTTCCTCATGAAGGCATAAGTGACATGCACAGCCGCTGTGACCTATATTACAAGATCAAAGTCCCGGCTCATATGCTTACAGGAGCATATTGTATGTCTTTCAAACTGATGGACTTTAATATGAATATTTCTAATATATTAGTTTGAGCCTCAACCTGGTGTTTCAGCATAGTTTGTTTTTTCCCCCCACCCCCCACACCCCCCCCCCCCTAAAATATATCCCCCCCCCCACCCCCCTCCTTTATTTTTTTTTTTTTAATAGTATATATATATATTATTATCTGCAGGATAGTGTAAGAACCTCCAATGTGTGTCACTTTTATTTAAACTTTAGCCTCATACATCATATTAAAGTTGATCTCTTTTCTCGCCAGCATGCATTAACTCCACCTGGCGTGTATCCATTGGACATATCTTCCATTAGTGGTATAGCAATCTTGAGATGCATCATTCGGTTTTCAGGAGGGTCCTCAAAAATAGCAGTATTGTAATCACCAGTGTTTGTCTTTTAGTTGCAAGATCACTCATATAATAAGCACAAACTCTCTGTGCTGTTGTCTCCAAATTGCATTTTGGCGGAAAGACGTGTTAGGCTCCATGAGCAGGAATCTTGGAGTTATGAAATAAATATAGTATTCAGAATCCAGATTCATTCTATTCACACATTCTCACCAATTCACCCAATTAAATTTTGAATGAACAAATATGAAAATGTCAACTACAGACTGGAAGTTAAAACACATAAGCAGTTGTTTTCTCTGTTTAGTGCTATGGACATGTGGTCAAGACGTGTAAAATGCAGTATTTGTTGTAGCAGTCCCAAAGGTCAGTTTACAAACACATGTGTACATTAAAGATGTTAATCATGATTTGAGCACCTAAAAGGCATATGTGTTGATTTGAAGTTCTTGCTCAATGGCTTAGATCTAGTCTATCGTCCCCCTACTGGTTCTAGAATGGAAATTTTGTCGTGGTCAAACATTTGTTCAATGATAAAGCTAATTTACTGAGACTGTTGTGCAAGCCCCACTTTTCTGTGCCCAACACAAATAATCTTTGGTCTATAAACATGCACAAGATGTGCAAAAGTTGCTTCGGCCTAATTGCTGTAGTACCTCAGAACGTCCTCTTTGAAAAACGGTGGATCGTGGATAAAATGACTTACATGTTATGTTTACTGTTAGTTGCTGTAAAGCAATTTGCATACAACTAAAGTTGTTCTCCCTTTTAGTCTCCTCCACTAAGAACGCAAACTGGAGAAGGCCCTGGAAAACCCGACTGTCGTCTCCGCTTCCAGAGGTGGGCTCAAAATCGCTCCAACAAAAGCCTCAGCGCTCGGCTGCACTGGAAGTGGCTCCTGTGGAGGCTGTCACTGCCTTCTGGAAAAGTCTTTCACTGAGCTACCGAGTTAGTCATAGCATCAGCACCAACTGTTTCATCATGCTTCACTGCGCGCAAGGATATTGTTCTCAACTTTTGGATTCACCTTGGGGCGGTCCTGTCTCCTAGGTTGAGAATCCACAGTTGCTTTCAAAAGTTTTTATATCGCTGTAAACCTTTACACATTTATCTTGGTCACTGAACACATCTGTAGGTAATGTAAGAAATCTAAAGGATTCTGACGACGTGTGACAAACAATTGTGAAGTAAACGCACAAGCTCAAGACGTGCACTCTCAAAAGACACACCACGACCACAAAACTTTTACCTTTCTCACACACACTGAACACACATCACACACACCTGAAACACACCTACACAACCTACAACATAATCCATGTTAACAGGTTACAGTTATTACCGATACTTCTCCAACATTGAATACTGATCGGAAAGGACTTGTATATAATAACAGTGGGGCAAAAAAGTATTTAGTCATGCCCACTGATTGTGCTCAGTTTATTTTTTTTTTTTTGTTCCCACTTAAAATAATGACAGGTCAACACAGACTTTCATACTCCCTCCACAGATATTTTCATGGGGTTGTGTCTGGGAACTGGCTAGGCCACTCCAGGACTTTCAAATGCTTCTTACGAGCCAACTCTTAGTTGCTCCGGGCGTGTGTTTGGGATCGTTGTCATGAGGAGACCCAGCCAAGGGTCACTCTTCAAAGCTCTCACTGTGGCAGGAGTTTTGCACAAAATTCACCGATACATTGGCCTCCCAGTCATTCGGATCAGTTGTCTGTCCCTTATGCAGAAAAACGGGCCCCAAGCATGACGTTTCCACCCCATGCTTCACACTTAGGTTTGGAGTGTTTTGGGAGGCCACTCCGTATTCTTTCTTCTCAAAACACATACGAGTTGAGTTTATACCAAACAGATTCTACTTTGGTTTCATCTGGACCACCTGACATTCTTCCATCCTCTGCTGTATCATCCATGTGCTCTCTGGCAAACTTCAGACGGACCTGGGACATGCACTGGCTTCAGCAGGGGGGACACGTCTGGCACTGCAGTATTGATTCCCTGGCGTCGTAGATGTGTTTACTGATGGTAACCCTTTTGTTACTTTTGAGTCCCAGCTCTCTGCAGGTCATTTCACCAGGTCCCCCGTGTTGGTTCTGGGATTTTTGATCACCGTTCTCTTGATCATTTGGACCCCACGGGTATGAGATCTTGCGTGAAGCCCAGTTCGAGGGAGATTATCAGTGGTCTTGTATGTTCTTCCATTTTTCTGATACTTGGCTCCCAAGTTGATTTGTTCACACACGCTGATTGCTATGTCGAGTCAATCTTCCAGTCTGGGTGCAGGTCTCCAATTCTTTTCCTGGTTGTCCTTCCGTCAGCTCTTTTGGTCTTGGCCTCCATAGTGGAGTTTGGAGTCTGACCTGTATGAGGCTGTGGACTGGAGTCTTTTATACAGAATAACGAGTTCAAACACGGTGCAATTAATACAGGTAACGAGTGGGAGGACGCAGAAGAGCTTCTTAAAGAAGAAGTATACCAGGTCTGTGAGCGCCAGAAATATTCCTTGTTTGAAGTGACCCAAATACTTATTTTCCGACCATCTATTTACAAACAAATTCGCTTTAAATTATATCCTACAATGTGAATTCCTGGATTTTTTTTTTTCCACAATCTGTCACAGTTGAAGTGATACTATGATGAAAATTACAGACCTCTGTCCTTATTTTAAGTGGGAGACAACTTGCACAATCGCTTGGCTGGTGGAAGCGGGGGCGCAGTACAGGAGGGCATGCTAGAATATTGGACATATTTTTAGTGGTAGGGGAAACCGGAGTACCGGAGGAAACCTACACAGACACAGGGAGAACATGCAAACTCACTCAGAAAGGCTGGTTGACGGGATTCGAACCAGGACTTCTTGCTGAGAGGCGAGAGTGTATCCACTTGCCACGTGCACTCTGCCACTGTTGGAAGGAATCCAACAGAAGCTCAAAGAAGAGCTCAGACAGATGCAGCTCCAGTTACAAGACAAAGATCGTCAGCCAAGGACTGTGATGGAGGTTAACGAGTCCATGACTGACATCAAAACGTTCAAAGACGATTGACTTGCTTAAACAGGAGATTCATCAGTTTATGAAGGAGCCTGTTCAGTTAGAGACAGAGACGAGGCCAAGGTGGAGACGGGGTGGAGGCGAGGTGGAGGCGAGGTGGAGGCGAGGAAGAGACAAGGTGGAGGCGAGGTGGACGTGGAGGTGGAGGAGAAATAGACGAAATAGCGATAGAAGCCATAGTTAGAGGGTGCGCAGGGTGCTAGGTCTGAACGTTAGGAGCTGGTCCAACTGTTTGCTCAGAAAGACCAGGATGTTTAGGAGGAGGAACAACGCGCTAAAGAATACAGGAGAAGACGAAAAAAAGGCTGCAAACTTCAGGTGGAGTCGCGAGTAAGTGAATCCTTCGGGCGACACAGTGGCGAGTGGTTAGCACTCGTGTTTCAGCAAGAAGGTCCTGGATTCAAATCTGGTACGAACAGGGCTTTTGAGTAGAGTTTTCATGTTTCCGTGTTGCTCGGTTTCTGGGTGCTCGGTTTCTACCACTAAAAAAATTGACATTAGTCTTCTCTTGAGAGGCAGGACTCCTGAAAAAGAGATTCTGAAATTCAGTGGGACGTTCTGGAAAAAAAATATTAACTTAAAAATAAAAAAACTTAAAAGTGAGCATTCCATTGGTGAGTGCATCAGCATGACTGGCAACCGCTCGGTTGGGTTTGGGTTGTCCACAATAAGCTTTAAGCTGCAAAAGCAGCAGAATGTACTGGAGAGTTTGTTCGGCTGTTTGTGCGTTGGAGCTTTGAGGCGGCAACACAAACACTGCAGATGTTGCTTTGCTGATTCTGCACAAAATGGCCTCAACGAGTTGGGTTCAATCTAGACATGTTGGAGATCAGGGAGGTCGGCAGGTTTAGAGGAGCTGTGTGGCTGAGGTCTCAGTCGACAGAGCAGGACCAGACTCTCATGGCCAGGTCAGGCTCGACTGAAGACTGATGAAATGAGTGTAGTCTGTTTGGTTGGAAGGAAAACTCAGTGGGACCTCTGTAGAACCAGTCAGTCTTCTGGTGTAGGTCATTAAGGGCAAAACGACAGCTCAGTTAGCTCGTTTGGTTTGGCAGATTGGTTTGGGTGTGAGCTGTAAGAATGTTCCAATCGTGTCGTTAGGATTAGGGTTAGGGAAATTAGGTTTAAACAGTGTCATAGATCAGTAAGAAATATGAGGCTGTTTTTGGCTTTAGACTCGACAACAATGACTGTACTAATGCATTTGTGGAAGACGGCTTTCTGGACTTTGGCTCAGTAATAACTGAAATAATAAAAGTCTTTCACAACATTAAACTTTTATCTTCTACAAAGTGCCTCTCTCTGGTCTCTCTTTCTCTGTGGTTTCTGTCCTGGGCTCTATCTCTCTGGTCTCTCTCTGTCTCTCTCTCTCTCTGGTCTCTCTGTCTTGTCCAAGGAGGTAACATTTCAAATCTTTGTCCTATTAGATGATTATTAAAGAATCATTAAAGGATTATTAAAGAATCATTAAAGGATTATTAAAGGATTCTGCTTTTTATTAAGCTTTTGTTATTGCATCGACGGGGTGGAGATAAGGCGGCAAAGTGGCTGAGTAGTTAGCACTCTCGCTTCTCACCAAGAAGATCTTGGGTTCTAATCTGGTTGGAACAGGGTATTTCTAGAGTTTGCATGTTTCCTGTGTTGCACAGGTTTCTTCGGGTCTCGGTTTCCCCTACCACTAAAAACATGCACATATGGTAAAATGAGGTGAAGCTATTTTCTCTCGCTGTATTACAGACAAGACGGAAGCGTGTATTAGATGCAATCTATAAACAACACTTGTGAAAGTTTCAATGCACAGTCGAAGATGCAGCGCTGTATGGAAAGCCTTGTGTTTCTGTCTGTTCTGTTCCTTCACCAGCATCAGGTAAGATGTTTACCATTTGAAGAAGACAAAGAGATCTGTGTCAGTTCTAAGGAATCAGAATCAGAATCCTTTTATTGCCATGTGGGTAACAGGAAGTCACAAACCAGGAAATGTCTTTGCCTCTCGGTGCAACAGTTAGAAAGGGCGGCACGGTGGCTGAGTGGATAGCACTCTCGCCTCTCAGCAAGAAGGTCCTGGGTTTGAATCCTGGTCAGAACAGGGCCTTTCTGAGTGGAGTTTGCATGTTCTCCTGTGTCTGTGTAGGTTTCCTCTGGGTACTCTGGTTTCCCCTATCACTAAAAACATGTGCAATAGTTCAGGGTGAGTGAGTGTGTGTTTGTGAGTGTGAATGTGGGACAACAGATGCAAATTAACCCATGGCTACAACTGGAGTGATGTGTTCATTAACATGTACTATCCCAACCAAATAAATAAAAATAAAAAAGAGAGGTAAGAATAGAGAAAGGCATAAATAAAACTCTACATACATGTCTTCGGTTCACCATATACACACACACACTGAGTGTGGTAGAGTGCAGTAAAGTGACAGTCATAATGTCAGAGGTGGATTATAAAGTGTTAATGAGTCCAACAGCAGAGGGGAAGAAACTGTTCCTATGGCAGGAGGTTCTAGTCCTGATGGACACAGTCTCCTGCTGAGGGGAGTGGTTGGAATAGTCATGTGCAGGGTGAGAGGGGTCGGCTGTGATACGACCAGCCCGGCCTCGAGCTCGGGCGACGTACAGGTCCTGCAGCGATGGAAGGCTGCGGCGATCACTTCCTCTGCAGAGCGCACAATGCGCTGTAGTCTCTGTTTGTCCTGACTGTGGCTCCAGCGAACCACACGGTGATGATCAAATGATTGGGGATGTTTTGTGCTGTGAGCTTTATTATCATAACTGTAAATCATCACATGAATAATTATGTACAGCTGGTGTAGAAGCATTTACAGCGACTTATCACTGTGTTTTGTGTGCTCCTTGTGTGTTTGTAGTGTATTAAATGTTTAAGCAATTGCTGACTCT